ACCCTATGAGCTACACTCAGACAGGAGGAGAGATGAAAGCATGACACATTTGTTTGCCATGAAACATTACTGGCTTTTAATCCCGGTCGCACCTTCTCTATGTCTGTTTTCCCTGGGCGGAAAGGGGCTGGTGGCTGAGGGATGTGGGGTCCTGTGTGCATGAAGCGTGGGATGCAGTCTGCTGAGAGCTAGCATCGCCCTCCCAGACAGCTTACGATCCTTGCTGAATCCTGCCAACACCTGGTCCTGGTCCTCTGGGGTTGGGAGGCATGGCCCAGAGCCCACAGTGAAACACACCAGGCAGCAAGGAGCAGTCCTGCAGCCATCCAGTGCCCCAGCACTGGGGTCAGGACAGGGCTTCCCCAGGCAACACCATGTAATGGCAGAGAAAGGCCAGATCATATCAGAAAGTGTGGCTTTGATGCTCAGTTAACATTACTAAAAATATCTTTACCTAAATATGCACCAAATCAGTGCTGCCAGCTCCACTGTAGGGTCGTAAACCAATGTCTGGCATTGCAGCAGAGAGTGTCTGCATGTTGGCGTGCAGAACTAGACGCAAAGGGGAGAAAATCAAAATACCACGATCTCCTGTTTTGCAGCATCCAGTTTTGTCTGTGCTTCTGGGTTTGATGAGCTAGCTGATGGAAATTAGAGGTGCTCCCGTTGCCCATTGCAACACTAGGATGAATCCCTCAGCGATCTGAAATTCATCCTCTGGCTGCCCTTTCCTCATGACTGGAGTGAAGTGAGGCAATAACCTCATTTGATTTGCACATCCCACAAAACTTGCCAGTGAGGTTAGAGACCTCTGTGCAGCTGATTTAAGCCTGCTGGTTCTGGGTTGGTTTCTTCTTCATAAACTGCGCAGAGCTACGCTGCAGACCCCCCAGGTTGGAAACCACCGAAGTAGGTGAATATTAGAAATTTGATGCTGATGGTTTTAAAGAAGAAACAGTCTGTTCATGCAGTGTGAGAGATACAAATATGAGCAAACAATATGGCTTTATTTTTCAAAATGCACAAGTAGAGATGTGTTCTAAATATGGTATTTTGGGCCCAGTTCCTAATGAGATCCTAGATACGGCAAGGTGCAGGCACCTCAGCAATAAGGACTAAAGCTGATCAAGTGAGCTCCACATAATTAAGAGCTGAGAACTTAAAGAACATACTGTGTGTCACTCCTGTCCCAGAGGTGAGCACAGACTGACAGCACAGACTGATGTCAGAGACCATGGAGACAAAATACCGTGTATGAAAGCATGATGCAGACCTGAGCTGTGATCCAAAGAGGGAAGCAGTTGGATTTGTGGGCTTGTACACTAGTGCTATTAGTGTACCTATGAACAAATGGTGTAGGTTATTCCTACTAAGCACCCAGAATTTCTTGGAAACATGGTCTTTTGTTTGTCAGTAAGAAAAAAAGTGGTAACAGTCAAAAGGTTTTGGACAACACTTTCTTAGAATCTAGATAGCAAAATGGCCACTTTGTTAGGTTTGGATTTGACAGCCTGATATTGGCATTAGCCTGAAAAGTTCATATTTGTCTGCTCGTCTCCTGCACAATAGTAAGAACACAGCTATCTGTTCACAGGTGATAATGTCACCTAGACAGTACATGCTCACACTTACCAAAACTGTGAGTCAAATGAAGCCCCGAACGGTATTTAATCACCTAGATTGAAGCTTCATTTTCCTGAGTGCTGTGGCTGTATTGACTTTCGTGGAAGTCAGTAGGTTTAACTCATTATTTTAGTTTCCTTTTTTTTAATATTGCCTTCAAACACATTTTATTTGTGTTTTGTTTTCTTTTCTCTTTTTTTTTTTATTTCTCTTTTTCCAGTGGGACTGTTCTTAAATAACAGACTTTGTAATCACACTGACAGAGGTGTTACACTCAAAACGTTGTTTATGGGCAAAGAAGAAACACCTTACAGATAAAGCCAAGAATTTATTATTAGTATCATTTAAATTTTAACAGTGTAATCCAAGAATCATTATTAGTTGAGATCTAATTATTACAGAAAATAATACTTCTATGCAGAAAATATTTCAGTAATAATAATAATGGCAGGATTGTTACACACACACTTCTTCGTTTCTACTGCTTGTCTTGGTGTGTCGCCTGCCCTCCCCCTGCTCCTGTGGGTCCTGAAACGGGCAATTTCGGGCTGGTGGGGGTTGGTGGGTGCATTATGGTGTGTCACTGGCATCTGGAGTCCTTTCCTGGGAAGGATATGATGTTCATCTTGATGGTTGCTTTTTCCTCACTCTAAGATCAACCTGGGGCCATTTTTATGCTTGCTAACATGCTTTTAAACCTTGCTTTTTCTTCATTGATCTGGAGCTCCACGTTACAGCCAAGTTTGCTTTATGCAGTACCTTTCATATATATTAGGTACTTTTTTGTTCTCTTTGTTACCCCTAAAAGCAGGTCTGCATTTCTTTAGCTGACCGCTGATGAGCTGTTTATAGCTGTGGGGTCTCCGGTGCCAGCATGTGCCCATCTCTTATCCTCCCATGTCTGCCCTCCCCTGTGCCGCGTCCCAAGCCTCCACTCCTCCATGCTGCTGCTGTCCTACCAGGCTGGTATTTCTGTATACTACGGAATAGTATTACAATTGTAAAGCCGTGGTGATACCATACAAAGGAAAAGCAAAAAACACAACAAATAAACTGTAGCCAGCTGGTCAATTAGAAAAATCGCTGTTGTAGCTGAACCGGGTAAAGCAAAGCTGCAGGCAGGTCAAAAACAGTTCAGAGAGAGCACGTCTGATAAGCCTGGGTCCTGAAACCTTGCAGACTCAGTACTGTGACCTGTTACTAGCAATGTCTATACCGTATTATGGGGCTACAGAGCAACAGAGGTCATGATACAGTTCAGGCATGCTTCACAGTATGGGGTATATGTGTAGAAAATGTGAAATAATGTACTCATGAAAGGTAGCTGTGGTTTGGAGTGTCACATGTTTTTGTAATGGACTCTCCACTCACTTGTCTATTATAATGCAAACAGTAGCACACTGTTGGGGTAGGATCTCTCTGTTTTACTTTTGTTTTATGAAATACTTTCCAGTCTCAATAGTTGTTTGCTGAGACAAATAATACAGTAAACTGCACATCTGACAGAGCTGGCATTCTAGTTACTCATTATCAGGTAATATTCATACAGATCAGAAAAAATGCTGAAGTTTTTAAAAGACTCAGATGCAAAGACAGTCCAGCACAAAATTCTGTATGGTGGAATTTTATCTGTAAATCAGTGAGAGGCACAGTAGGAGCACTGGGACAAGGCAAGAGCAGGAGGCGGGATTTAACGTCCCTTGTTTACTTATTTCTAATGCAGAGTCCACAGCTCTCCATTCGTTTATCTTCAGGAATACATATAGTATTTCTTCCTGTTTATTCCTGGGTGAAAGTATGTACGAATTAACATGAGACACAAAGCCAGAGATGTATGTTAGATACTGTGAACTGAGAATGTACACCCATAAATTTTTTATCTTTGGGCACTTTTTGAATGTCTGCCACCTGTAAGTGGATGGTTGCAGATGCAGTGTAAGGGACTGTGCAGCTGGGCAGTTAAAACCATGCCTCGTGACCAGGAGCGCGTGCATTGCATTAGTGATAAGGGAAAAGGAGAGCATCCTTATTTCTCTTATCTTCTGCATCTGTAAATTGGCACTTTTTGTATCACTGTGAACACTGAGAACCAGGTACATGGGGTCAGGTTTTCTCCTTGCTTGTACTCCTGTTAATCCATTTAACTCAGTATCATGGTATGTTATCACAAATCAGCTGCTGTTAGTGTTTGGGCCATGCTATTCCCTGCTCATAAAACTCTTCTGTTTCCCTTCCACTGCAGAAAATGTTGGAGCTGCTTAGCAATTTTTGGAAGTCATATATAGTGATTTATCTTTCAGAAATAATTTCTTAGTTTTGAATAATTTCTTTTTTCATTACCCTGGTAGGAAACTTTCTAGCCTTATAAAACTGAAAAGAATTGACATTGGTTCTCTTGGGGAGATGGCTGCACTGGAATGGTTTTCATGTGAAGGAAGCACAAGCCACGGAGCTCCTCACATTTCAGATTCTCTTATTATACTTTTAGCAATCCAGGTGCTTCTTGCACTGTCTGGTGGGATACAAATCCAGGTGTATACATGAGAACAGGGCCAGTATGTTTTAGCAGCAGATCACCGTCTGCAGTGCGCCGAGTAACCACTCTGTCAGCAATCGCACTGCTTCTAGCACTATTGCTAGACTTTCAGTTTTGGCTGTAATGAGCCATGTTATTATACCCTTTTTCAAGTGACCAATGGTGGGTGCAGATAAGCAAGCGAAAAATTCCTTTAAATGCGGCTCCTCTTCACCTGGGTTACCACATGCTACCAAAATATGCATAATGGTAGGTAAGAGCTTCCACATTTCCCGCATTGTCATCTAAAATATAGCAGTGGAGAAAACTGTGTTTGGATTAATTCAGGCAGGTTATGTTGAAGGGCCTGCACTTGCAGGGAGTGTTTATTTAGATGTATTAAGGCCAAATACAGAAAACACCCTCTAAGCTGAACAAGTAGAATACAGATGTATGAAATGTTAGAAGCGGTCAGGCCTTCTTTGCTAGTTTCTTACCCGTTAACTGTTTGCCAGATTTGTAACAGAAGTTGTAACCAGTATTGCAAGGCTGCTGTATAGGTATTCATATGCTTAGACTATTTTGTACTATCAGCTGGTACAGTGGATTCAGTATTGTGGTTCTGAAGTGAACTTAACCATAGCACATAATTACATGGAACTGAAGTAAAAACCATATTGCAGTATCTAATATAAACAAGGTATTCTATTTCAAACGGTTCAGTCAAACTGGAAGTAAGAAAATCCAATAATGGGAGGCTTAAAAATAGAACCTTTCCCTTTTATTAATTTGAGCCATTTTAAAGGGCAAAAATATACCATGAAAGCTTATATTTAGGCTCTTACTTTTCTTTTTTTAACAGGACTGGGAGTTTCCACATTTTATGGGTGATGTTGAAGTGAATCTTCCAGGCTTGCCATCTGCACACATGCAGTTCAAAGTACCTTATTTCCAAAAGATCTTCAAAGAGGAATATCACATACATATAACAGGTAAGTAATCTTATCGACAGTGACACAGTCACACAGTGAACTGCTCCTGTGTAATAAATGTATGCTAACATGTTCTTAACCACATAATTTTGTGTGTGTGTGTCCCAGATTACTATTTTTCTATCTGTTTATCTGTCTATATCTGTGTCACCCATATATAAACATCTCAGGGAAATGAGGAACCTATATCTTAAGAATTGGAGAGACCTGCTGTTTTTCATAGATTTCAGCAACTTCTTGTGACACTAAGTAATACCTAGTGTAGCTTCAGAGATATTTTATCTAAAATTACTCTCCAGGGGAATTAGCGGCTTATTTAATTTCCAAATCTCTTATGTGTTCAGATGCCTTTGCTGTGATTTATGCTAATATCTTTTTATAACTTTGTTCATTCTCATCTGGCAAAGGCCATTCATAACCATGCTTCCATCAGTCATCTAACCAGAAGCAGACAGTTAAATAACCTCAAATAAAATAGAATTGCAGTTATTCAAATGGATGGTACATATAGATAAAAAAGCACCTGATCCTGGCATATTGTGAGACAGTATTTTAATAACAGTACGGAATGAAAAAGAGAAGAAGGTTAAATAGGGATAAATATTTTGGTTTTACCTTCAGGCTATGCAGAAGGAGCATGGGTCCTCTCTTTATATCAGGAAGAGGTGGATAATAATGGATAGCAAAAGAATGCAGGTGTGAATTGACAGGAGTCTTTAACTGCTAATATAAACAGTCAAAGCACATGATACTGTACTGTAATAAGATAGATGAGAGCATCCAATGACACAGCCATATGAAACTCCTACAGAGCAGGCACAAAAGGAGCATTCAGAGATGATACAAAGATAAGGCCGAAAGCTAGCAGGTGAGTCACAAGCTCACCAGGCAGCAAAAGCCAAGGGACAAAAATGTGCCGAGGAGGAAATGATGAACCCAGGACTCAGTCAAGATAGGCTTTTGGCATTTTCAGCAGAGACGGCAGAAATCTGAGTGATCAGATTAAAAAACATAAAAGGAGAGAAAATGAGTGCAAAAGGTACCTGCTGGCTATTGAATGAGGGAAGGCAAATGGGCCAGTAGGAAGTACAGATGGAGGGATGGAAAGTTTTTCAAAATTGGATGTAGGTGCCCCCCTGGAATACTGAGAGAGAGCAGACAGCCAGCAAGGAGAAATAAGGGCTGGGGCACGTCTGAGTGAGACCGATTGAGCCAGTGGTGGTTTGTGGAACAGGATGAAGTAAATGATCTCATGGTCAGTGACTGAAGGTGTGGGGTGAGAGAAGATGGGATGTGTACATGATGAACACATTTTTATCTCCCAAGTGAGCAAAAAGGGGAAGGAGAGGGGAAAAAAAGAGTATAAGCATCAAATATTTGATGTGAATGATAGGCATGGTGTTCAGGGATAGTGAAAAAGATTTTTTTTTCTACTTCTGAAGACTAGAGCATGAATTTGGAGGGGTTCAGTCCCACAAGGCTCCCAGATGCTCTGCAGTTATTCTACTGTATAAAGAGAAGTGTGAACACCGGCTGAGGCATGGTAGGGTGGGCTGTGCCATCAGATACAGAAAATCAGGATATAATTAATGTAGATGAAAAATAATGGCTAGTAGAAGAGAGACTGAAGAGCAGAGAATGGTTTTGCATTGTAGAAGACACAGGGATATTGATGATAATCAGGGAAGAGCAAAGAATAAGCAACAGCAAAGAACATAAATTAGGGATCAGAAATACAACTGCTAGCAGTGCTGCTGTTTGAAAACAGACCAACCCAGAGAAACCAATATTTATGCATTGTAGAGTCTTCTGCAGAGAGGACTGGAGGCCTTTCTGATTTTCTAGCGAGAAGGCATTCTTTTAATGAGGATGAGCTAATGAATAGGGACTGAGGAATATTTTTCCCTGCTCAGCATGAACAAGATCCACTTATTAGATTCACTAGACAAATCAATCCATTTGACTGCACATCACGTAGTCTGTCTACTGAGTGCCTGTTTTATCTCAGTGCTACACCACCCTTTAGGAGATCTAATAAACAGCCATAACACATGGCACAAGAACCTCCCTTTGGGTAAGTTTTACTTGAACCATCTGTTCTTACCATCAGTTCTTTTCTTAGGTTAGGGTATTGTCTTGGATCATTTTCAAGCTCTAGTTATTGTGGGGATGTGTATATACTTGTAATTTTCTACTCCAATCCAGGAGCTGATAAAAGAAAGAAAGAAAGAACTGGTTCAATATATTTATGACAAGATGAATGTAATTCAGCCTCAAATGAGGGTAGAGAGTGATTCACACGAATGCAACTGCAGCAGATGACATGGGGTTGGACATTGATAAAGGCAGAAAGTTTGCTGTATTTAAGCCCTGTTTAATATGTGGGATCCAGAATGTTGAATTTAACCATAAGGCCTGAATACCGTTTGGTTTAGTACTTGCTATGGGGATAAAGTCAAGCTGTAAATCTGTGACCTGCGCCCTGATTTGTAGAAACTGGAAACCCTTTTCTCCCAAGTAGCAAGGAGAAAGAAAGCATGGGTGAAATGCCATTTACTGTCATTTTCCTGGCAAATTTTATTCCTCATAAGTTCTTTTACAGTCTATTTTGGTTGCTGTTGATTGATATAAATAAGAGCAGCCCTAGGATTCCCCTGAGCAGCCCTGTTTGGTGCTGGGTTCTCTAATGAGGAGTAAACGACTTCAACCCACCTTTCTGTCGGTGTGTGTTTAATGGCTTCATACAAGTTCTGTACAGATGAAGGATTTCACAGTCACATGATCTGTGTTACCAGCTTTCCTGATTTTATCACAACTTTTAAGACAGTTGAGTTTTTTTGGGGGGAGGGGGGAAGAGGGTTGCTATTTTGTCTTAAAGTCTTAGCTCCTGAATTCAGTGACTGTGAGAATTTTGGCTTTCATGTTTTTTGAAATAAAGCTCATGATTGCAGACAGGAAAAAAAGAAATGTTGCTTTTGCATAACTCCATGTCTAAAAAAGCAGATAAATAAAACAGTATGAAGTGTATTGTTTTTAAGCCATCTTACTACTTTAAACCAACAACATGCTTTCGTAAGCCTGATTTCTGATTTCTAAATGTTGTCAGTTGCCAGTAATGTTGAATTAACATCTGCAGCCTGTAACTGATATGCTTCAGTTTCATTTTAAATATAGTAAAGCATATCTTATTTTCACTGCTACGGTACCACATTTTGCTCAAATTTCTTTGCGTCTAGGAACTCCTAGCAAGCACTACTCAGTATTAAATATTTTTGTCCTGTTTTGATAGCTGCTTTTATCTATGAACATCAAAAATAACTTGAATTCCTGCATCTGCTTAACTCATCTGGATTTCCCCTGACAGATGGTTCACTGCGATGTGTGTGTTTTCCTTCTTGGACTGCTATTTATGAAAATACATAATCTATCCTAGTTTCTATAATATCCAGGGAAATTTGTAAAATTTAAAAGTAGATTTTGTTACTTTAGATTCTTTCATGGTTAAAAGGCAGTAGGGGGCCTGGCTGGTAGCCTTTAGTAGTAGCACTGGAGATCCAAGAGCATCTGCTGTCAAGTACGTGCGTAAGTTTCAAATAGGAGACGTTAAGGTTTAGGTGTCAAAACAGATGGGAGAGGTTTTCTGGCTGTTCAGAAATGTATTTCTGAGTGCTGATCTATCAGGAGTACCCTTCCACCCAAAGGAGAAATCATGACCTCCATGGCTGGCGAGTGCCTAGCATGGCTGGCTTGTGGAGTTAAACCAAATGTGTGTCTATGTTCAGGCCAAGCATGGCCTACACAGGGAAGCCTGAGGGAGCCTGTGGGCAAAAATAGAAAGGTTAGAGGTAAAACCAAAGCTGTCCATACACACAGATGTGAAAAAACCTCAGAGGGTTTGTGGCTTAGTTCAGCTGTGAGGGGTTTGTATGCATGTATCTAGCTAATAACACTAATGTGACAGAAGATATGAAGAATGTTTCAAAGAGACCTGAATGTTTTACAGAGGTGTCTGAATGTTTTCAGACACAGATTGTAAATGAGAAAAGAGTCTGAAGTCAACATTTCCTACAGCACAGCATAAGGCTACTTGAGTCTATCCTTAATAAACGGGATTTTCACATTTCCTCTTGACCTCAGGAGAGATGCTGAGGACTGGCTTCTACATGAGATCCTTTATTTAGGGCATGACTGCTCTGTTACAGAATGGACATACAAAAATGAAAATGCTCCAGAATCAGCAGCTGGTTTGGGATCTTTGGACCTGCCTCAGTTGCCCAGTGAATCAGTTGCATGTGGGATTGTGGACTGGTTGCTGAACACCTCGTAGGCCTTATCAGCCCCTTTAAAAATGAGCACTGCTCAACCATCTTGTTCAGATGGCAGAAATAGGTGCCTTTCTGGAGAAAGGAAAAAGAAAAATCCATACCTCTTTCACCACGACAAAGCATCTGGCATTCATGTGGGATGCACGTTTGTTGTTCAGCTTCAGTAGGGAGGGGAGAGTTTCTAAGCAGAGTCCTGTATAGGCTGGTGTTCACAGCATGGTCCTACGGTGAAGGTCCAAACTGCTGTAAATGGAGATACTTCTAGTGTCAGAGTTCCCATCTGCTGAGTGCTCTAGCCATGAGGATACAATGTCCTCAACGGCCGTGCTTTCTCAGAAAATAAGGATTGAGTTTTCAAACCCAGATAGTGGTCGTATGTTACAATGCCTAGAAAAGGGCTTCACATTCTGCATCACAGCCTCACAGAGACACCAAGCATATGCTCTCAGCTTGCTGTGTACCTCTGATTTTTCTTTTGGGGGATCCTTATTGCACCAAATGTCAGTATTGCACCACATTGCCCAATACACCAAACCAGATTCCTGGTTCTCCAGATGTCGTGCACAGCATGAAAAGATGCCAACACTGTGAAAGCCAGTCAGCAGCCAGGTCTTTTTTTAGGTAGTGCATGGCTGAATGACACAGCCTTATTTCCTATGTAAGCTTGATTTATGACTTAAAGTTTGCAATAAAAAACATTATGCTAAAATTAAGTTGCAATACATGATCATTTCATATATGTAGATTATACATGTGTAAAATGTTAAAGGTTGGTGTGTATAAAAAGACTCAAAAATTACTTGTCATGGGGAATTACCATCAAATTGATGTTTCTGAGTGGAGACTATCAGGCCTCTTGGTTCAGTCTGTTTCAATACATTTATCACTGATCTAGAAGGGTTGCATGCCTGATAGAACAGCAGTAAAGTACATGTCTTGAAAGAGGGATGGACAGCAGAGGACACTGTATTCCAGAAAGAGGCAAATCCTTTCTGTAGGTAACCAAGACAGCACTAACTCCCCGTCATTTTGTGTCTAAGGAGATTAACGCAGCCCTTGGCTACAGGGAATACTGAGTAGGAGTGGGAAGATGTCATTGTGTTCATATATGGTTATAGTGAGACTGTTACTCTTACACAGTGTTTGGTTCTGGTCACAACAGTTTTCAAAAGAAAAGGAAAAATCGTAGAGCTCATTGAGCATGACAGTGATGCAGAGGATGGAAAAATTGTCTAGAAATAAGAGATCTAAAGAGTTTTGAGAAGATCCACTATAGAATGGAGGCAGGTCTCAGGCAACTAGCTGCCACTTAGGCATACAGGCTGCAATTTGTCTGAGCTAACTGGGGCATCTGCGTCAAGCTGTTTGTCTAAGCACCCTTTACAGTCCACACTGACCCAACAATCCCAACAGCAGAGCTTAAGGCTGTGCTCGTGCCTGCCTAATGCTGTCCAGGAGCTGAATGAAGGAGTTTCAAGTTCATGATTTTTATGAAACAGGAATAGTTGAAATGTAGATCTCTCATATCAGGTGAGCACTCAAAGTCTTAACATAAGAGGGGTGGAGCCTTTTAGAATCTTAGAAGAGATTCACAATTATGAAACCACAGTGTAGGATAGATACTGCATGAAGCCTGAGATCAGTATTTACCTCTATTCAGCATTGTCGGTGTTTTCTGCTAGCTTCTTAGTCAACTTCTTCACCAGCAGCAGGCTGCCATCTGAAGTCTTACTCCTTAAGTGATTTTCTCTACACGTCACGTTTAGGAGAATGTGGTCACAGAGGTGATTGCTGTGAAATCCACTGGGTGCCATCATGCCTAAAGAGGCAGTAGGTCATAGCGCAGCACTGCAACCTCTGTTGCCTTTGTCAGTCATACCTGAAGCCTACAGTCAGGGAAACCCTAACCATGTCTTTTGGCCTGTATAAAGGCCATCTCAATAATGTCTCCATTTCATTACAGTTCGTATTTTGATCTCTCAGTAGTCTTTTTTCTCCCTACAAATCTTCACTCTTGCCATGTCAAGCTGATGGGAAAGAGCAATACTGGGCCTACATGAGTTTTTCCCCTCCCTACCATCCCTAGGGTCTAGCAGATCTCTCTGAAAAGTCACCTCTCTTGGCTCTGCAGAAACACAAAGTACCATGGATATTTTGATGAAGCCAATAACAGAAGAAGTGGAAGTTTTTTCAGATGGGCTTATGTTGCATTTTCCTGGGAAGACAGTATGGCTTAAGGAATAGAGTTTGGAGCAATGCACCAAGGGGTTGCTTTCTGGTTGAAACAGGGAGTAATATTTGATGACAAGTCGTTGTTTCAAAAAGTGTCCAAGTGAACAACCGTAACAGAGAAAGGAAGTTTTGAATGCAGTAAATTATGTTTTGTTTCAAACTGGCCACAGAAAAACAGATAATGGTTATAATATTTGTTGCATTGTCATTTGTGTTTATCCTGTTTTCCGAAGGAAGTGAGGATTATGTGATCATGTCCTCTGACAGGGTTGGTCTCTCTCTCTATCTACCACTCAGTCAGCATCAAATAAACTTTGAACCCACAGACAGTTTCAAAAAACATTTTTCAGAGGGTGGAAATCTGAAAAATAGTGACATTATCATTGTGTCCTAAGAGATGATGATTAGGTAAAGGAGAATCATCGAAGTTATTGCCTAGCTGAGGGCATATTTTATTCATATTTTAGCATCATTTTCAGTGACTTGGTGTTGTTTTAAGGAACTTAAATATTATAAAATGTGGTGATAATTTTCTAAAACCCTGATTTTCTTTAACAGGTTAATTATAATATTGATGAAAACCCAGAAAAAAGATAGAGGATCTATTCAGGAATTATGTGAACAGGACTGGCTGCAAGGTCTTTTCACTGTAGTTTGATTTCTGGATAGTGACAATAACACAAGAGAATGAACATTCTTGTTCAATTTCAGTCTAAGTGTAATCCAGACTGAAGAGGACTGTTAAACACAATTGCTGAAACACAGGATGTTACCCTCCTTACCCTCCTGGAGTATTCTGGTCGTACAATTTGAACACACAGACTTTCAGGAACTGGATTTGATTTATTCTTTACCAGGCCAATGACATGCATCATTTGATAGATACTCTGATACGTTAATTTTCTTTTTCACTTGAAACATACTCAAATACGATTCCAGCATAGACCAATATCGTTCATCACCAGGAGGAACATTCCTCCATTAATATCCTTTTACAGAACGCTGACATGTAGATTTGCTGGGTTGTTGCATGATGCCAGTCATCACTGCACAGGTGATAACATCCTAACATATGTGCAGCTAGAATGTAAGAGATGCTTTGACTGTGAAAATAGTATAATTTGTTTTGTGTATTCATAGAATAATTTAGGTTAGAAGGGACACCTGGAATTCATGTGTTCCGACACCCTATTCAAAGCAGGGCCAACTTTGCAATTGCAGAAAGTTGTTTTTTACATCTTTTGGATGCTCGGAGGAAGCATGCAAAAGAGCAATTTTAAATAGTAAAAGGAGAAAGGCTTCCTCCTCCAGTATTGCAGGAGCTTAGTGTTAGTCAATGAGTCACTCCTTGAAGGAGTTTCTGCGACACAGACTAGAGGAAAAGCTAAGCTGACTAGCCTCCCAAGACTAAAATCAGCTCTTGCTATTTCTCAAAGGTGTGGTATCTCTAAATAACAGTTTATCCAATTGCCCCCACCCGAATATGTCTGCACACCATGGTTGGTATATCAAACAATATATGTACGTACTCTTAAAATTTACATAATTATCAACCCCAGAAACTTCAGGCATTTCAGTCATTCCTGTCATATAAACAGTTCTATCAAATATGGCTTTTTCATGGAAAATTTCCACATGAATATTTTTTAAGCCCTGGAATTAATGCATTTTTAGGTTTATTGATCTATACCACATCATCGAGTGGTCTAATCAACAGGTCACCTACAAACTACAATGTGAATTCAATTGATATACTGCTCTGCTTGTGTTGCAAAGTTATTTTATTATGTGCCCAGACCTTACTGTGAAATACTAAGGGATGTTCAGCATAAATCTAATTTATGGTGGAAATGTTATTATAACTTTGCTTTATAGATTAATTAAAAAATGATTTTTTTGTTTTCCGAGTAGCTTTCGTATGTGACTGTATTTGTACTGCTTCTAAAATGGATATGTCAGGTTACAGAACTTTCTTTTTCCAAACAGGCAAATGGTTTAACTATGGAATTATCTTCCTTGTTTTAATCTTGGATCTGAATATGTGGAAGAACCAAATATTTTACAAACCTCACGAATATGGTCAATATATCGGTCCTGGACAGAAGATCTACACAGTGAAGGACTCAGAAAGCTTGAAAGACCTTAATAGAACTAAGTTATCGTGGGAGTGGAGATCCAATAACACTAACCCATTGACCAACCAGACCTACGCCGAAGGAGACATGTTCTTGCACAGCAGATTCACAGGCTCTAGCCTTGATGTCAAATGCCTGGCTTTTATTCCAAGTTTGCTGGCTTTTGCTTTGTTTGGTTTCTTCATCTGGTTCTTTGGGCGATTTCAGAAAACTGACCAAGGCATGGAGAATTTAGACAAATCATACACAAGAATGAAACGAAAGTCACCGTCAGATATGGGAATGACAAGGGAAAATACACAGGTGTTAGTTGAAGAACCATTAAGTTTTCAAGAACCACATCTTGTATCCATAAAATCAGACTTAAGTGAAATAGTTTTTAACTCTTCTCTCCTAACTTCTGAAAACTTGAACGCACAACTGAATGAACAAGATAGCCCGTTACAGCCAGTACCAGAGTCCTCTGTCCCTAAGAGTAATCCTGTGACATAGAGGCAAATACCCAGGAAAATCAGTTTAAATAAGCAGTTACTATAAGATTTCAGTTTTACCTTTTGTAAGTTAAGATTTACATAGTGTTTAGAAGAAGAAACTCAACCTATACCAAAAGGTGCTCCGCATGCTTTTTCTAGGAACTTTGTTTTCTATTTGTATTAGTACGTGCCTACTGTATATCTAACATTCCTTTATAGATTGCTTTCCAAAATTGCACAAGCTATTTATTAATGCATTACCTTAACTGTATAATAGTGTATTAGATGATTACTTGCAGGTATAAAATTCTACCGTGGTGGTGCCTTGAGACATTAAACTGTTTTTTAACTCAACACCAGATGTAGAGCACAATTCTTCTGATCTGTTTTGCAAAGCTTTTTGTATACAGTTATTTCAAGTATCATTTGATGTCTTAACAGAGGAGATAAATACAGTTATTACTAAAGAAGGGTTTCTGTTAGGACATCACAACTTGACTTTGTTATTTACTTATCTGTGAAGCCAGGGACTTTGATGACCGGACTGCAGAGAAGCATGTTGATTACCTTTTAATTTTTGCTGGCTAGCTGCCAAACACAAATACAGATTCATTATGCGGTAAACAGCAGAGTGATAATACAGCATGGGTCACTACTTGTGAAAATATGGCTTTCTCCATCAGTAACAGCAGTTAGGTGATAATGCCTAATTATATTTTTCCTAATTAAAGATAAACTGCTCCTTGATTAAAAGTTTTGCCCTTCACCTTTTAGAAACAGAGGTGAAAATACATGGTTGAAGCAACTTTTTCCATCATCACACCAAACCCACGCAACATCAAAGAGCCAATGGAGTGATTACAGCAGAGGACACAAAGCCCATTAAATCCAGTATTTGTGCAGTTCAGTGCAGATATGGACTGGGCATGCGCAAAACATACATATGAAACATACCATGCATAGGCCTTCTCCAACTACTGAAGAAATGTTCGGGAGTTTTAATTAAAACAGATTAATAGCTGAATTTTATTGTACCCTTTTTTTTTCCTTCATTCATTATCCATCAATAAGTGAAACCAGGAAGCAGAAACGTAAAGAAACTGGGTTTTTTGCTTTTTTGAGGGGGACTTTGTGATGTGGATTGCTCTGCTGTATGATCATACTATAAGGACTAGAGAAATTGCATATCTAAAACATCAGAAAGATTCTGATTCATTTCTAATTTAGTTTTATAAATTGTTGGTACAAGTTACTACATAATAAGTAATTTTTAAGTCTGAATTATTTCTCTGTCATTTACTGGTGTTGCTGTATTTTGTCTTTGTGACTTTTTTATCTCTGCTCTTTTGATCTATCTGCTTTTAATTTTCTGGAATGCTGAATTTAGCATGCATAATAGAACTATGCATTAATCAACTGTCACTTGAGAGCCAATTGTAATAAACATCACTCAACAGTTGTTTATTATGAGGCAGTAAAACATCTGTTAGTTTTGCAATTTTTTTAGACATTTTGCCCATGCATTGTCCTATTTAAAATCGTAAATATTTCTGACACTAAAAATGACAGGCGGTATCACAGTAATGTCAAAATCAAATATTTTGCTTATGGAAACTTTAATGTTTCATCAGGAGAAAGTTCACTTTATAATCAGACTAAATTTTTATCCATTAAAAATTATGACTAAAAATAAATCTATTAGCTTTTGCCTGCTGCAGCCTATAAATTTATTTCACTGACTTAAGATATAGTAAAGACAAGCCATGAATTATTAATGGTAAAATACTGTGAGAACCTGCTTGTACTATGTAAGAGGTGACTGTATTGATGTTTGACTTTCAAACAGCATTTGATTTGTTCAGTAGCTTCAGAAATAGCTGATTAATTTTGCAGATACATGCTTCTCTGTATGTTTTGGATACTGTAAACCCAAGTACTGAAAATCTCCTGTTAACTCATTTCTCCTTTTTGTGCATGGGAGTGGTTAGATCCATTAATATGTAGGCAGAAAATGAAAGAATTACTTGAGCCTTACAGCTTGCATGATTACATGACTCTGAAAAATCTGTTATTAAGCAACTGACCACAGCTAAAATAATTCTGTGACCTCACACTGAGTTAATGCTTTTAAGGTCATTATAAGCTTGCATGAAAGAGAGAAAAACATCAAATAATCCTAGATTTTGCCTGAATTTTTAAATTAATGGTCAAGTAGAGAGACTGCTTATATCATGAAACCATAAGAAGTTAAAAGATTCAGTCTGACCAGTCACCATGGTCAACTGATCAATTTAATGAAAGGAGAAAGGACTCCTCAGTTGTATGGGAATATCATTTGTAAACACCGACACAGATGGGAGAATAGAGGAGTATTTCCACTCTCCACTTCCAGCGCTGAGTTTGAGAAGCCTGCGTTAGGTGGCTAGGCTTACCCTGAGCTCCTTCTGAAGCAGGCAGAGACTGGGGAGCTGAACACCCTAAAGGTGATTCAGTATCTAACTTAGCCATTTATCTCTGCATTAGTAAGTAGCACAGCTCAGCAGGAGTGGGTTTGTGGAGTGAAACTGTTGGTGCTGAGCACCCAGTGCCCACACTTTGTGCATTTCAGGGTTTTACTTCAGTTTAGCTCTTGTCTGGTGCTTATGAACTGAATGCATGATAGTGGCTGGAGTGTGTTTCCGACAGATCTCATCCATGTGCAGAGACCATGCAATTTGAATCAGGAGAGAGTAAGCGCATTCCTGAGCTGAGCTACTAATGCAGTCATCCTCAGTCTTCTCCTGAAGCAACTTGTGTTCCTCCATGGACTGTAGAAGAGTCTATGGGAGACTGGGTGGCTAAGTAAGAGGTCTAAATCTGGTTACTCAAAATCATAGAATCATAGAATCATAGGTTGGAAAAGACCTCTAAGATCATCAAGTTTAACTGTCAACCCAACACCACCATGCCTACTACACAATATCCTGAAGTGCCACACCTACACGCTTTTTGAACACCTCCAGGGATGGTGACCCCACCACTTCCCTGGGCAGCCTGTTCCAATGCCTGACTACTCTTTCAGTAAAGAAAATGGAAATATGCCTCCTCCAAGCACATTCATTGTTTTCAACTGTTATTCATTATTAATATTCTGAACTGCTTTGCCAATTCAAACCACTCTGAAATGCTTTCCAGTCTGGTACCCATCACTGGGACCTTCATATGGATGGTTGACCTTTTCCTGAACACCTAACTATTACACAAATTTTTTAGGTTTTTTTTCTTTTCCTGAAGAAGTTTAAGAATACACAGAAGGGAAGAAACTTGAGGAAGTGTCATTTTTTTTCACACACTGCACAAGTCTCTATTCTGCCTTCTATAATAAACCATCTAGCAGCTGCCATCACGACAGGGCTGGCCTGTTTCTGCTTTGTCAGAGATCAGATTTGGTACAACATTTCTTTTTTTGCCATAGTTACACTGTACAGTGATGGATAATAGATACTGCCTGAAATAGCATACATAGAAGAGACACCTCTAGGATAAGCACATAAGATTTATGAGCCCACAGGTGCCTATAAATTGCCTTAGCATCCTCGGCAATTACCTTTGCTGAGGTGGAAATGACATGGAGCAAATAGAATGTAAGAATATTTGTACAAAGTACATTAAATATAATATTCATGCTTATGAAAGTATATATGGATGTCTAAAATCCAGTTGTATAAGACATGTATGTGTATGTATGTTAGGAGCCTAGGGATTAGTTGATTCTGTTGGGGGAAACTACTGAGCCTCTCAAGCAGACAATTTACTGCTTCCCTCTTTATTCTATCTTGCTCCATGAGTTAGTGACTCCAGGTTGCTTCATCTCCTCTGCCTCCACTTCTATTGCCTAAAAAATACAAAACCAAAAAAGAACATTCAATAGCACTATCTGTTTCCCCAAATCACATTTCTGTCTAATTTGTGCAGAAAGTAAATTTGTTCTGTTTTAAAAGATTTCTGTCCTCTCCAGCTAGCATTGTCATACTCTGGGCCACTGCACTGTATTACGGTACATGTTAAATTATTGCTTTTCCTGCGGTCAGTGGCCTCCATCATGACAACCACCTATAAACAAAGTGCAGACGCCTCTCAAGGACTGGAAAGGCAGCAATTCAGATACTGCTTACTAGACTGGCAAGTTCATTGTCCCACAAGTGAACAGGTTATGACTCACTAGTAAAAGATGTAACAGATTTTTAATACACTTAGCGTCCTTAATTTTAACAACCTCCTAGGAGGGGCTCAGTGGGAGAGGACTTTTTATCTCAGGCTGTAAAGGTGAAGTAGTTATGGTCCTGCAAGCAGAGTATTTCAGCTTTTTAGGGTTCATTTAAAAGTAACCAGTTTAAACTTCGAGCAGATTGCAAGAACCATAAAAATTAGACAGGCCAAACTGAATAAGAACAAAAAGTTGATTCACTTGCAGCTGCCCGGTGCAGGACATAGACAAAACACACATTTATGAGATGTTAGAGTGACCCTGTGCTTGGGACTATGGACTGTGACATGCGAAGATTCAAACTGTATTTGTTAACAAACAGTTGCAGTCCCTTTATCAACAGAGTTGCCCCTGCAAACACCAGACAGACCAGCTCCTCTGACATACGGTCTCTCTCCTGTCCATCCATTTGTAAGTTGCAAATGACAAAGGGGTTGTTCATTTCCCTGTGCACTGAAAACTGTCCTGTGGGGAGCCTGGGCTCCCTGGATGTGATGTGGCATGCCATTGCGATGCCTAGTGTGCAAACTCCAAGCAGGACAACCAGGGACAAGCAAAAGGAGGAAGCCTGGTCTGTGAGTTCCACAGCCTTGAGGTGAAGAAGAATGGTTTATGTGACCATTTCAGAGGCAAATCAATATAAGTGGAAGTCCTGTTTCATAGGAACACGAGGGGACAAATGGAGAGACAGCAAATCACTATAAATCCTTTCTGTCCCATTCAGATATATGAACCGAAGCAGCAAGTCCCTGTTCCCAAATTCTCACAAACAATTCGCAGCTTCCGGATGACTTCTGGGTGAGTATCTCTTCTGGGTGACGAGGTTTTAACACTGTCTGATTTCCCTCTTAACACTTCCTCTGCACGGGGGCTGTCAGCAGTTTTTCACTGTTTGGAGGAAGAGGGTAGCTTTCTGAAGAAGAAGTAGGGAAGAAACTTGTGAAGGAGAAACCCCATGAGGCTGGTACTCTCCACAGAAAACTCCTTATTGGAGAGAGGAAAAGCATA